TGTTGAAACCATCAGGGGATTGGCGACATTCAGATCGCTTTTTGTTTCACATTTTTGGTGACGTGGCACCATCTTTGGCAGATTACTTCAACTATTTTAGCGTTTTCTATCGCGATCACAAAAAGTGTTTATGGCAGAAAGATCATTCATTTCTAAAAACAATGACACCGAATCGTGAGTACAACATACATTTAACATAAACACCCTCCAGCAAGACACTCCATAGCCCCTGCAAAATGCAGGCAAAGTTCTTTTGGTTTGCAGAAATTAAAGCAGTTACTTGATTAACATCTTTGGTTGGGAAATGAAGAAAGGGCTGGCGAAAGAGTTCCTTTTCCCATCTTTTTGTTTGCTATTTTGTCGCGAAATGTACGCTGTTTTTCCGGAGTATAACCTTAAGTGTTCGCCGCTTCTTCTCCCACAGTGGGAAACGAGAGTTTTCAGATTATGACTTAACTATACGTTATTAATTTTATGAAAATCAATTTTCAAAATAGAACTGTCAGCCATCTCAGCAATTGTTGAAGGGCTGTTTCCCTAATAATTGAACTTGAAGAACTTTCTTTTTTAGAGATCCTAATATTGTGTAGAAACCAGCTTTTAACAGTTTATAATTTCCAATTTTAGTATTCTACGTGTTTCATCAGGTTTCTTACATCGCTATATTATAAATTCAGGTTCGTACACTTCTTCCCATATAAAATTCAAGGACTTTTCAAGGTCTTTGAGGTACCACAATTTTAAATTTCGAAGACCTCATTTATTACTTTTAACTCACTTTCCAAATAAACTATGAATATATTTCGATAATAATGGATGGGCTTTTGTTCTCCAAAAGGTAACCATTTGTATGAAAATTCGTTGTGAGTCAATACCTTACTTTCATTTCCTCAACGCCGAATTTACTCTGTTTGCTTTAAACTGGTATTTCCCAAAGTTTTTTGGAGAATGGAAAATGGCCCTCAATTAAAATTCAAGATTTTTTTAGGACCAAAACGAATGAAGGAGAATTTCAACGACTTTCAAGGCCCAAAAATTCAAGAGTTCTCCAGACACTCACGAACTCTGTCTCTTTTGGAATGCGAATCAAAGTTTCATAGATCGAACTAACGAGACTACTTGTGTTGATGGTCAAATACAGTAAGACTTACAGCAGGAAATAACTGCCGAATTTTAATACAGCTATGTTGTCTCCGCATACATTTAAATTGAATGGTTACACTTGATCTTCCCCTTTTGTTCGGTACGTTTTAAGGAGAGAAAACAAAAGATTGGTAAACTATAGATGTATCATCACCTTGTTTTTGTTTTACTATAGTGCCTGAAAAATGTCCAGTGGGTTAGTTTGGTAAGTAAGTTTTTGATTCTCCGTCACCGGTATATAACAGCACATGTCAAAAAAGCTATTTTATGGTTATTATGTTTCACTTAATTTTTCTTTTTATTGTCATGGGCGTCTGATTGAAATAACCTGGTAAAAGCGTATGAACTCATTTTTCTTGGCTTTAAGTTTTTTCAGAAAAAAATAAGCCACCACCTGGTTCTTCTTAATTTCTAGCGATTTATGGACATTGAAATTATCGTAGAAAGATCAGATCGATTTAGGTTTCTCGGGAAACTGACCACCTACCCCTCCCCTAAGCCAACATTTTTCCCTAAGTGAGAAGTACGTGCTAATGTTAGCTTAGGGGAGGCAAGTTAGTTGGGAAGTTTCCCAGAAAACTAAATTGATCCGAAAGATCTCCCTTTACTCATTTCTCACAAGCTTCTTGGGCCATCACGATGCCTTTGTATAGGGCTGCAAATTCAAGACCGCGGTGTCGAAATTCTGGAGCTGTATGACTGAATTCACATAGGAAAAAAAGGTACAATGATGGCACCGAACGCGACAGCTTGTAACTCGGCTCCAAAAGTTAACATTTTGTAAAATATTTTTTCGTTATCATCCATCAGTTGGTGGAGCGTGGTGAAGCATCTTTCTTGGTCTTTTCTTGGAATAGCGACGCTGGACCGTTTAGAATCAGTGGATAGTGCATCAGCCACTATCGCGCACTTCCTCTTTGCAGCCTTTCTTATCATGGGAGTCATTCTTCTCGTTAATATGATGATAGCCCTACTGTCTAACACTTACCAACGAGTGAAGGTAAGGTCGACCGAAGATCATCTTTTGAAATCTTTGAGACATTTTCTCACACATTTGTCTTCGAAAGAAGAATATTTGTAGTGCACGCAGCAAAATAGAAAATGTCGGGCACATGGTATCAGCTTGAGACGGAGACAGATATTATGGGCAGTCGTGCCACTAATTATCGGAAGCCAGCGTGGCTGAGTCGTTACCAGAGTCACCAGGTCCGAAAGATACCCTTTCACTAATCTTTCCGAGTAAAAGGAGTTCTACAGTCCTCGTTTAACTCAGCGTCTCGATTTCAACTCCTCCTCTAACCAAGATTAGACTACGAGCAGTCTCTCTTTTTCTTCAGATTTAGCAAGAGGAGTGCTCACGAGAGAAACGAGGGCGGCAGCCCGAGAAGAAAAAATAGCGAATGCTTCCATAGCCAGCGCACATGAATTATACGTTGCCCTCACTTTTTTCGCGCCTTTCCCGTTTCGTGCCTTCCACAACGCGTGTGATCATTTTCGTGTCTCGCGCGTTTCAGTAGACGGACTAAGAAAAAAGAGAGACTGCTAAAGATGGGATATGAGTTCTATTATGTCCTAATTCAGCTAATTGGATTGTCTCCATGATTATTTGTGCGCAGTATCTATAAACTAGCTGGAGTAGCTAAATGTACGTATATAATCAAAGTATTTACCTTTTTATACCGTTAAGCATTTGCTTTAAGAGTAAATCATTTCTTTGTTATTTGGCGTAAATTGAAGTTTTATATCCTTCTTTGAATGAATATACAGACACTTTTGTAGGATGAATGTAAGATGACCGCTTGTTCTTAGCTTGTTCTGCTACGTTGCAGGATTCGCTTGTGGTGAAATCTACCGTAATGTGTTAAAAATTATACTTTGAAGTTCAAGATTTCTTTAAGATAGCAGCTAATTAAGATAATCTTTTTCTCTCGTTTTTTAAGGATAACTCCATGAAAGAATGGTCGTTCAAGAAAGCCATTACCATCCAGACATACAGGGCATATCATCCAATACCTGTGCCCCTTAACCTTATATCTAATTCATTTCTGTGGATAAAACGGTTGTACCTTCTCTGTTCGAGGCGCTGCTGCGACGGACGACAGGATAATAACAGTTTCAGTAGTCGAGTGAGTAACTTTTAACTAAGAGTGTACCGTCCATTTATACAAACTACTCGGGTAAAAATTTTGTGCATGTACATTAAACTACAAAATTTGACGTGGTGGTAGAACGACCCGTTACGAAGTCTATCCAAATCAGCTGAATAGAGTCCGAACAAATTGGTAAAATTACATCGTCTCAACCTAGAGTCCATTATTATCTGGAGCTTCCCAAACTGAATGGCCGAACCATTTAACTTTCCGGAATTTCAGGTTACCCCATGTAAATGGCAGTACCCTAGGACACCATAGAAGGAATGCGTTAGATCAACGGGGTGCCAAAACACCTTTATTGCCTAATAGACCAAAAAATGATATTCAATCAGAACTAGCTAACCCTAAATTCTGCCTGTAAAATGTTATTTTGTATCCTTTAGGCGTTTTGAGGCTTTTGTAAAGCAGTTTGGCCTACTTACCTTGGCAGCTAGACTTGGTTATTTATTTATTCATTTTGGATTCTCTAACTCCTAGCTTATTCATTTTTAGAATTTCCTGAAGAAAAAAGGAAAGGCTTTGAATGAAGTTGTGGAAAAACTACAAAATGAGTACCTTTCCAGTTATGGCTACTCATTTCCTCTGACAGGTAAAAAATGTTGTTTTAGTACGTATAATCCTCAACAGCTTCCCGCCAAAAGCTCATGACTAATGCTCATCTTCGTTTATTTATTTTCACCAGTTCCGAGTCCGCTGCCATTTACCCAATACTGAGTGATCGATAATTAAGTTCATTCGCTTTATATTCTAATTACCTTTACTTTATGCCTTGCAGTATGCAGGTACTCTGTTTGCTCAAACGCAACGTCTGCGGAAGTAAATTAAGCACCTTTATTTTTGTTCTTTGCTATTAAGATGAAAGAAAAATGGACTTCGTTCTTCAAGAACTTGAGCGAAACAGGCAAATGGTAAATCAGATTGCTTACAAAACATTTGCAGCAAGTGGAATAAATGGTTCCATTTTTCCCACTGGTCCCAAGGTATGCTTCCATCTCATAATGGACATGAATTTTATTATGATTTTTCGTTGTTAAATTGGATTGTTCTAATTTCTTTTCTTACAAGATTTTGTGAACCTCCACCGCACAAGTTTGCAGAAAATTGTACAGGCAATCATACGACTTCAAGATCAATTTGAAATTTGGAATTAATTTGCACGAGTATGTTTTTCAAAAAGTATGGTAATTTGAAAACACACCAGAGCAAATAAATTCAGTCCAAATTGAACAAGAAAAGTCGTATGATCACCCTTTAAGAATATAAAGATTTAGCCAGGGCTAAAAGCGAAGCTCTGGTTAATCATACTTGTAAACAAAAGAAATTAAATCGTGTAGTGCTAAACGAGGCGGGCAATGGCAGAATTTATACTAGAGACGAGTTATCCGTCTAGACGGATTATCCGTCAGACGGATAATTCGTCTAAGTATAAATTTGAAGACGAATTTCGCTCCGTAATTCGTCTTAGCACTGAATTTATACTAGAGACGGATTATCCGTCTGGGACGGATAATTTCTCTCTAGTATAAATTCGGCCGATGAAAATGGAGTCAAGATCAATAGATCTAATTAACAAAACAACAAATTGCACATGCAGCACGCTTTTTGTCTTTTTTGCCGTTGTTTTGCACAACTACAACGCTGTTTGGTAGGACTAAAGCTTCAAACTTCCTAGTTATGCATTATTTTTATGGAGGAATTGTGGTATGTGCTTACCCAATATTTTGTCTTCTGTGTTCATGTTCGCTTTTATTTTTCACTGCCGCTCATTTTCACCTTGCTGGCCGCTAGTTTTTCTCTTTGTCTCACAGCCGCTTTGAATTTTCATGTTTTTCTTCCTACAAAATTCGTCTCTTTTGTTTTCAATCACTCGCTCTAGCTCTTTTTCTGTTATCCACGTAAGTGTGAACATCAAAAATAGGGTCGAAAAAGACAGGACTTTGATATTATTTTCTCTTTCTAAAAGTCCGGGCGGCCATGCGATTTCTTTCCAAATAAAACCTTGAGTTGCATTTGGGTTGCCATACCTATTGATTGAATTATTTTACATTGATATGTCTGTGGTGCAGACGGACAGTCGGGCGGTCGGTCGGTGTACGGTCACGTGACTACCAAATTTTCTCGGATGGGTGGTTTACCACTTTTTTTACCAATGGTGCTCCGCTGCGCGCACTTCGCGCGCGAGAGCTCCGCATATATGCGGTCAATGAACTTAACCTTGTCCCAGAGCAGATAATGCCTGGTCTTATTGGAAACAGCTGAAGTTTGAGTTCGCGAAAGCCGTATATCTCAATTGTGCTCCTTGATCCGTTCATGCATCCACTTTCCCGTCTCGCCAATGTATACTTTACCGTATTCACAAGGAATCTTATTCAATACTCCATCTTGTTTTCGTACATCAACAGCATCCTTAGGTCCTAGTAAGTGTGATCTCAGTTAATAGGGACCTTAAGCATCGACAACGAAATACATGACGACGACGTTTGTAACCCAAGGGGGATTGGGTCGAAGCTTTCGTTCTCGGCGGGAAAAACGAAAGTTAGCAGTGTGTTGTTTTTAGGAGACGACGATTTTTGGTTATCTGACAAGTAGCTCTAGCTATATGGCTTTCAAAAACGTCCGAAATCTACTTCTAATTAATCACAACGATGGCTTTATCAATGATGATGAATTTGTTGTTCTGTACGACCTCTATGCATCGAAAAACCTCGACTTTCCGTACGATTCGTACGCACCTTTTGACCTGGAAGAGCTTGATAAGTCTGAGAGTTTTGCAGAGTTTCGCTTTGGAAAACGAGATATACGAATTCTGAAGGAAGTTTTGTTAATCCCTGACACGATAACCTGCAGTCAGCGCTCCGTTTGTGATGGACTAGAAGGTCTGTGCATGCTGCTAAAGCTGCTTTCTTACCCATGCAGATATGCAGACATGGTCCATAGATTCGCTAAACCTGTTCCAGTTCTTAGCATGATCACCAATCAAATGATTGACTTTGTGTATAATGTTCACGGGAATAGAGTACTAAACTGGAATCACGAGGTCCTTAGTCCTGTCAACCTGCAGACTTATGTTGATGCTGTGACAGCCCGGGGAGCCCCACTGCCCAATTATTTTGGGTTTATTGACGGTACCGTTAGGCCTATATCAAGACCTGGAGAACATCAGCGACTTCTTTACAATGGGCATAAAAGGGTTCATGCCCTGAAATTTCCATTGCTTTGCCAAATGGCTTGATCGGAAATCTATATGGCCCAGTTGGTAAGTTACAAAACAGTACAGGCCACCAGCTTTAAAGCAGGGATGTGACCAAATGTTTATTTTTGTAGACCTTGCACTTATTTTAAAAAAGGGAAAAAAATGAAAAAAAAAAAATGACACATTTTTCAAGGCTATACGACAGGCTAAATTTATTGATTTTCTTATTCAGTAATGATTACCAAGGTGAGATCACCTCAGCAGTTTATTGGGAGCATAGCCAGAGGGAAGAGGGGACTGTCCCCCTTCCCCCCTTGAAATAAATATAAACTCAAGATGAAATTAGGAAAAAGTTTCTGAAGTACGCATATAATCAACAGCTTATGCAACCCAATTGTCCGCAGCCTTTACTCTTACACTGATACCTACCATCACCTACCTATTTTTAGAAGGAAGAAAACATGATGCAGGAATGCTTGCCGATTCACAGCTACTACACGACCTTCATCGGTTTGCCTACAACAATCCAGTCTGTGTTTGGCTAGGCAGTCTGTGTGCAGAGATGAGTGCTGTTAGAAGTTCTGTCGAATGGCTGTTCGGAGATGTAATCAACTCGTTTAAGTTTAATGACTTTAAAAAAGATCTGAAGCTTTTCCTCAGCAGTTTTGGAAAGATCTATGTTGTTTCTGTCATACTGCGTAATGCAATGACATGCTTGTATGGTAACATGACCTCAGAATTTTTTGACCTTAGGCTACCTACTCTTGACACATACTTTGGCTAGGAAGCCACACTATTGCTCAGTTTACAATGCCTGTGATAAAATATGTATCAAAACCTTATAACTGCAGTTAAACATGGTAGATATTTGTATGCTGATAAGTTAAAGACTATTTCTCACACCATTGGACTTTTTAAAGAGAAAATGAATTATAATAAAATTAAGCACAATATTGTTTCTAAAATTTTTCTATTTTTCAAGAAATGTTATCGTAACTATTGATTTATTTCCCAACTTTATTTTCCATTTTTCAGAAAACTGTGGTTAATTAACTTAAAAAATATACCTTAAATATAAAATAAAAGAGATTTATCAAAAAAAATTAAGCATAACATTGCAGAGTCAGGCTATTTTTTTGGAATTCCTTCATCAAACATTTTACAAATATAGGAGCCCAAGGGCCTGTTTGTTGGAGGTTGGGCTGGCACTAACCCAGGACGTTTACCGTGGTGACTTAATGAATTTTTACAGAGTCAACCCTGAGTGAAAGCTACCCCAATCTAACATGACTGAATGAAGATACCCATGCTTCTTTTAGAGATTTTGCCTTAATGATGCATATGCTCGAAATTGGCTCAATTTCTAGAGTGGACTCACTAAATGTAAGAAATACTATGAGCTAATTACATAAAAGCTCAGCTAATCAAACAATAGAAAAAAATAGACCCAGCTATGAATACTATTCTTAAGATTTATTTTGTGCATTTAGTGACTGTACATCAGGGGAAAGTTTGGGCATTTAGGCCCCTTTGTACACAAAAACATCTGTCTATTAGCAAAAACAATGTTTTATTTCTTCTAGAAACTTTACAAAACTCTCTATAGAAAAGAAATATAATTACATCCATCAACAATGCTCTTGAAGATAACTTAAGTCATAACAAAAGTCAACTCAACAAGTTCAGGGCTCTTCCATAGTCATAAGGTTCGAGCTTAATGCTTTTTTATATTTTCCATCACTGCCATAAATACCTTGTTTTGCTGGTCAAGCATAATTTGAAGGTTTTGCTGTTGAAGCTGCTGCTGTTGCTGCATCGTGTTGATCAGCGCTGAGAACATGGTCTGTTGCTGCTGCGCAGCCTCCTCTTGTTTGGTTTCTGCTAAATCAAGATCTCTTTTTCTGATGGCTAACTCTTCCTTTTTCAATTCTCTCTCTTTCTCTGACTTCTCGGCCAAAAATCCGATTGCATCAGAGGTGCTCCTCCTCAATTTAGCTTTTTTTGGTTTCTCGCCACTATCATCGCTCTTTCTAATTGCAATTGTCTGAAGAGCCGCCTGTCTGATTTCCTCTGCTTTAGCTTTTTCTTTCTCATCTTTTGCCTTCCTCTCGTTTCTCAGGGCGTCACTCTTTTCTTCTGCGCTTTTCTCTCGCTCGCGAATTTCCTCCAGCAAGGCATCAATTTCTGTGAGCTCGGGGACATCTATCCCAGAGGCTTTCTCTTCTTCTCTTTGCTTTAGTTTGTGCCGGGAGATCAGGAGTGCATATCGATCTCTCACTGCCCTTGCTGCAACCCTGAATTCTGGAGTCTTCAGATAATTCAAATAGGCTGCGATGCTTTCCCATACTTTCCCTCTCTCTCGGTGCTTTTCGGTTTAAAATTGTAAGGTTCGCTCGTTACAGCTTCGCAAAGCATCAGAACATCATGGTCTTCCGTCCAAACAAAATACCTGCACTTACTCGCTGTCAAAAGAACACGAAAATATATATTTTTAAAGCAAAACTGAAGTTTATTATTTATTATCTTGAAGTGCAACTTCAAATTAGCACAATGACATGCAGGTCTAAAATAAGAAGAACATGACTTCAGATATCCCAAAATTCTCCTTAAAGAGATCAGTACAGAAAAACTTACATTTCTTTTGAACGAGTTCTTGCTCGGCTGTAGAAATGTGGCCTGCCATGGTTTCGGATGCTTCTCAAAGAAAGTCATTTTAGTCTGTTAAAAATAGCTAAACTGTTAGACATTTGACTTCTGCTGGTCCGCAAATAATACATCAAACAATCATTATAACAAAAGGTGGAATCAGATGATTATCAGCATGAAAAAGTTCGAAGTAGTTCAGTTAATCTTTTGATGTATGGCAGACCCGCTGTAGAATTCATTTCGGCTGTGGGTTCTTTTAATTATTAGATGCCTTTGTCCATTCGCAAACTTAAAGGTGTCTGGCAGCAGATTGCGGCACCTGATTGGTCCTTATATTATTTTTTAGCCAATCACGGTGTTCCTTTCTCTGAGATATTTGCATTTTATTTCATTTTTTCAGCGCATTATGTTTCCTTGTTTTGCACTGTTTTTACTGAACACTGCATATTTGAACTCTGCCAATTCACATTGAAGAAATCTTTCAATATACATTATTAAGTACGGAATAATATTACGTAAATAAGTAGTTTTGGGTTGACCGACTTTAATAAATAACCGCGCTTCTTCCAGGCCTGGCAAAAAGAGGGAATCAGAATCCAAGGATGTCTTTTAATTTGTGAAGGAAGCAAACTTTGCGGCATATGCAAAGATATAAACTATCCAGCTGAATATCACGGTGCAAGATACAAGTTCCCTTTTTCTCCAGATTCGCCCCATTTTGAGGTACGTCGTATTTAAGTAAGCCAGGAAAAGTATTTTTCAAAAGAGTGGATACAATTTTTAACAAAAATTTCAGCTGAAATATAGATTCTGATCGTTTAAATGTTATTTCAAGTCAGATTTGATGTGGCTGTGAATCTACCACCCAGAAAGCATTAGTATTTTTTTCTATCAGTTATTACTTACATCTTTTTATCTAGGTTCTTATTCAGGAAACTGGAAAAAGACGGCTTTTAGGATTGGGTGTTGTTGGTGAATATTATGGAAATCATGCCCTGCCGGGTTGGCTAAAAGGATCCGTGGGATATCACATTGATGAGGGAAAAATATTTGACGCAAACAACCCTACAAAGGGAAGAGAGTACGAAGGTAAGGAAAAAGAGCTGAAGAAAATTAACTTGGAGGATAACTAATCCTTTCAGTTTTCGAGTTAGTTTTAGAGACTTAAGGGAATTTTACGTAAAACGTCTATTGTATGACAAGACCAATGAAATTTCTTCCTTCCATATGTTATAAATTTTCCAAATTAGATTTGAAAAGGAGAACGATTTAATAATTACCATCTCACAAGAGTGAGGTTGCGAAAAAAATCACGAGTCCCACGGACAAGATTTTACCTCATGCACCAATTGATACTACATGTGAGATTGAACACGTGACCAGCACACCGCATGAGCAACTGGCAAACCGTACGAGGTACTCGGTTATTTTGAGAAGGAAAATCAACTTATCCAAGCAGCGCGCACACGTACGAAACGACTCCTTCCATCACCTGTCCTGTAACAGAAGAAAAAAAACTTGCAATTCTTTAATTCCCGGCCTCGAAAGGTCGGCTTCGGAGGCGAGAACGAGATCAAGAGGCAAGAGGGCTAAGACGAATCAGGATGGCGCTTCCGCTGCAACAGACAGTAGCCGAACGAACAGTCACGCGTAAAGTCAAAGACTTCACAGAATCACTAAACCTAACCTGGAAAGACACACTTCGACAATGGGCTCTGCTGTAAATCAAATCGGTTCAAATACCGAGGAATTAATGGCAAAATTTCTAGGAATGATACAAACAGTCGCTCAAAAAAAAGCGTCCGAGTGGGCAGTCAAAATTGAATGCAACGCTGGAATCTTTGAGAGAAAACTCATTAAACGAAATATTGCTAACGGGAGAACCGTTCATCACCTTCTTTAGATGGTGATTTTTCTCACAGAGTTGATGAACTTGTAAATAAAAGACCTCACAATGAGGGTCACACTCAAGCAAGCTACAGACATTCTCATGTCCTCATGGAGAGCATCCGTACAACAACAACATGGTCCCTTCATCAAACAATGGTTGGACTTTCTAGTAAAAGGAGCAGGGATCACAGCTCGCCCACTTTGGAACTGTAATTGATTTCTTAACATCTCTGTTTACCAAAGGTCTGGGTTAAAGTTGCATTAATACAGCCAGGTCTACATTATCGTGCATTATGTATACAGACGCAATATTTTGTAATTGTTCGATTCATCAAGATGTGTTTGAGAATCGCCCTGCTCTTCCAAGGAACAAAATTGTGTGGGACATTGTCACCTGTTGATCGATTGTCCCTTAAAAACCTTTCACTCAAAACTGTCACACTGTGGTTCTAATTTATGCCCAACGTTTGCAGACTATACATAAACCAAACCAGAAAGACATCAAGCAGCATTGAGTTTACTGCTTAGCCAGAGGAACCTGATTTTAGCATAGTTTCCACTATTACTGCTTATATTAAGAGGACTCGGGGGAACTCAGGCGAAATCAAACTGCCCTGTTTATCGGCTTTACTAAACCACACATAGTGGTGAGTAAGTCTACTATTGCACCATAGGATAAGATCACCTTACAACTGAAATATAGGTGTTGATATGGCCATGTTCACACCGCACAGTACCCGAGCTGCATCATCCACAAGCAAAGTTGATACTTCAGTCTTTTTAGATGACCAAGTTCTACCCACCTATATGGCATCACCAACATAAATCTAAATCTGTTCCTTCCGCCTCGTTTAAAATATGCAGTTTGCAGGTCACGTGCTCAATCTCACGTAATCCCTACGTATCTCTACTGGATCGATACACTTACAATCAATCTTTAACTTAAGGTAAGTCTGGTTTAATTTTTAATTAGCATTAGTTTTAGCTATGGCCAACCAAAGACGGGCGGGTTCTATCCACTGAAGAGCAAGGAAATTAAACAGGTTTATTCCTTGACTCGCATTCAACAACTGTCGAAAGCGTACTATACTAAAAGGTAAACTGGAAAGCAGCAACAACATGCAACAAGGTAACGGACGGACGCAATATCTAACTTCCCAGAGTGTTGAGAGTTGTTGGCCAACAATGTTAAGTCCGTTTGCACGAGGCTTAGCATTACAAATACCGAGGTCTAATTAGCCAAAGCTTTAAAGCGCTTCATATAATTCATTTAGGTCTCCTCGCCATTGTCAGGCCGCAGTGTTTGGCCAAGTAATTAAACTTATTTTCCAAATTTTCTTTGCAGGCGCCATGGCCTACAGAGGGACTTGATTGGCTGCACAGTCAAGTTTGACTTGGCAAAAGATGGGAAAGTTCAATCGTGTTTTATTTAAACGGAAGGCCGATCACTGAGCATGAAAATGAGATATTAATGGAGTACACTCACAATGGGAAATTGTATCCCTACATTGGTATGGGACACACAGGATTAAGAGTGCTGGCAAAGGTTAACGAATTTATTTTCATTTTATCTTTCTGTAAAGGAACCATGTTTGCCTGTGTGCATCGCATCTGCGCGGATTTAACAAGGGAATTTTGGCTTTTTGTACCCCAACGACTTTCCGCTTTGCTGGCAAAGCCTTAACCTCCCAAGTTACATGCTCTTTTCTCTTCAATTTTTTCAAAGTGATTAGAGTTCGTTCAAGATGCTCCTACCACAACAGATATCACTACCACTTTGTTTATTGCCTCTTTTCAGATATTAGTCAGTTTTCTCGCTTTCCTTTGCCAATACCCTGCTATAACCCACCGGGTGTTTCCACATCAATAATGACGATAATCTTACACCCTATGCCAGTCCTCTGTTCTTCTACTATGTCTGGTCTTCTGACCCTCGTGCAGATTTTTGCCCTCACCTTTGCTGGGTAGGGCCTCGTTTTAGGGGCTGTAATTGATATTGAATTGAAACGATTAAAACCGTCTATGTGGCCGCCAAAGTTTGTTGATTGTACAAACGCCATTTCCAGAAAACAGAGCAAGCACCAAACAATCCTGTTTCTTGCTGTGGTATATTTTTGGTGAAGGGCAGGATTAATACGATTATTGTTAACATCATCATCATTATCATCATCATCATCATCACCACCACCGCTATCATCATCATCATCATCATCATGGGTTTCAGAGTGGTGTTCAGTTAGAACCCTTCTTAAAGTAAGCACTTTTCCAAGAAGTGCTCAGTCTTCAGATGTCTGGCAGGTTGACATCTGCAATGTCACTGAATCAGAAGCCTTTCCTAATGACGCCTAATGCGCCTATGACCACATAGATTCCTTTCGTTTTCATTTACACTATTCGTGCCACCCCTGTTTCCAGGTCTTTGTATTTGGAAAGTTTTTTAGAACACCTTGATGGAAGTCTTTCACCCACCGTTATGGGAATACACTTTTTCTCATGTCTGTTCTGGACTAAGCTAAACAGGTCCTTCATCACATACCTCTTCGCTCATCTGCATGAATGGGCAAATCATAAAGGGTGATATAATTAGAACATATGTTGCGGCCTTGGGTCCAGTGGTCTTTAGCCACTGGTTTGTTATCTTCATCATCACTTCATTTTACATCGCTGAGAATACTTTCCAGGCGAGGCAACTTCCCATCAGGTTTCAGATATTTCTCTGGTTCTGACCTTCAGCAGCGTGTCTTGATTTTCTTTCCATATAATAATGAACCCTACAACGTTTAGATGAACGTTGAGCATGAAGGTTTAACTAGCATTTGAATTTAGCATTTTTGGGGGAAAGAGAAGAGTTTTTTCCGTTCTTATGTTGTTGCAATATTAATTTGTACGGAATAATGAATTCTCACTATTTATTGTCTTTTAAAGTTTGTTTATAATGCCACTGGAACGCCATACGGGGAAGGTAGATAATAGCATTGACAATCAATAATTAAAGACGGTTATGTTTGTTTTCATTTAGATGACTTCCCGTCACGAAGTGGATAAAATCGTGAGGATCCCTCAATTTAAGGATAGCGATCGACATCAGAGTGAAGAGCGTGATTCGATATTAGACACCTTGGAAGGAATCGAAAGCAAGTTTTACTTGTCCTGTCAGCGAATGAATGATGCTTTTCGACTTTTAAGCAGAGAAAACAAAAAGGGTACCGAAACCGAAGAAGTCATCGAAGTCTCAACATCGTCGGTGGTTGAATGTTCCTTAGATCAGATGGGCCTACAAGATACAGAGGAACTGTGCAAAAGAGACAACCAGAAGCGAAAAACCATTGCACCATCTTTTGACAGAGGAATAGATCAGGAAACCATTGTGCCAACAACATCGTCGGAGATCGAATGTTCCTTAGATCATATGGGCCTACAAGATACAGAGGACCTGTGCGAAAGAGACAACCAGAAGCGAAAAAAACATTGAATCATCTTTTGACAGAGGAATAGATCAGGAAACCATTGTGCCAACAAAATCGTCGGAGACAGAATGTTCCTTAGATCATATGGGCCTACAAGATACAGAGGACCTGTGCGAAAGAGACAACCAGAAGCGAAAAACCATTGAATCATCTTTTGACAGAGGAATAGATCAGGAAACCATTGTGCCAACAAAATCGTCGGAGACAGAATGTTCCTTAGATCATATGGGCCTACAAGATACAGAGGACCTCTGTGAAATGGACATCCAGCAGCGAAAAAATGTCGAATCGTTCTTTGAAAGGACGACCAGGGTTGTGAAGAGTGTAAAAACCGAACACGTGGGAAGAATGCACATCCAGAAGCCGACAATGGTTGAACGAAGAGAAATAGAAGAGAAAATAGTCCAGCTGGAACGAATGATGGATAGAAAATTTCACCGAATATTGAACGCTTTTCAGCAGACAATAGCAAAGGCCCAGCAACAGGATAAAATGTAATACCAAAGGCTTATAACACACGCAGTAGTGTTTGCGTTTGCTTTTTATAGTTCATAAGACTACAGGAACAGCAAGCTGCTCTTGTATAAACTGCTTAATAAGTTTTAGGAAAACCTTCAAGCTGAGCTCTCATAAGACGAAACGTAGAAAAAAGTGGCTGAACAGGAGGTTACGTAGTAAATTGTCATTCCAGCTATAACTTAAAGAACTCTTTAGATAATTCTATACTCTGATAAACACTACGTGACACATTTAAAGACGTCGATATAAAGCATCGTTAGAGACAGAACGAAATCTTAAAGTTTCACCAAACCAAAATACGGTATAACAGTAATTGGCAGAATAATCTTTCTTATGAAGTTAAGAAAAACCATATCCTTAACATTTATTCTACATGTAGCTAAAGCCCTCCCAAACACTCCTGAACTTTTTTTTGCCTCCAATAAGAACCCACCTTTGGGTAATCTTAGTCTATATTGAACAGATTTTCTTTTTCAAACTCTATTGATTTACAACTCAAGCGATCTTCCCAAAGAGTGTTTCTTGGATGATCAAGAGTCGAACTTCGCTTTTCATAGGATCAAACAGTCTGAGCATTTTGTTAAACAGACAGGCCCAGTGAACCCTAAAAAGTGGATTTGACAATAGAAATCTGGCAAAAATTTGGAAATAGTACTTTAAGAAAATTCCAGTCGCATTATCATAGTGGGAACATTGCTTTCTGTAAGGACTTTGAAGCAAAGATTTTGATTAATATCTTTGTAACTTTTTTGATTTGTACTGCCCTTGGTTTAGGGACTGGATTTGGCGAAATGTATATTTTGTACTATTATTGGACGTCCTCTAACCATTCTAACGAAGCTTTGCACTGCTATGTATATGGCTGTCTATGTGTCCTTAATTGACCATTTACCCGCTTTGATAAGAGCTAGGTATTTGTTTAACTGTTTTTTGTCAATTCTCTGTTACAAGTTCTTTACCAGTTTTGTTTGATCTGATGTATTGTGTGGAGATGAATGAAGATTAAACATTTAAAAGGAAGCCCTAGTCTAATGAACACTCATTATACGGTTAACGACAACTCGATTTATGGAGACAACAATACTTTACAATCAACACTCTCTGAACGGATACCTCTATACATACCCGGAGTAGTCAATCCATTGTAGCACGTAAATGTCTCTAGAAAACCCAGGACCTGCATTAAGTCATAAAAATCGTTCTTATAAAAGCGAAATTCCGCACGCCTGACACTCGTCGGACAATCTTTCAGAGACCTCGTGTCCCATGGTTCAGTCAGGAGATCAGGGGAAGCGTCAACGAAGGAAGGCTGAAAAGAGGTTGAGGAAATCTCGATTAGAGTCCGATCTTGCTGCTTTTAAAGCAAAACGTAATGTTACTACCCGTCTTATGAACAAGGCTCGGAGGGAGTTTTACAGCAACTTTATAGACGATAATAGTGTTTATCAAAAGAAACTATTCCATGCAAGTCAGCGCTTATTTAACCGCACAATGGATGATGTTGTCCCACCTCATCTGGACAGTAGAACTTTCTCTAACGACTTGGGAAATACTTTGTTCAGAAGATAGATACTATCAGCACACAGCTTGACATCAATCAGCAGACTGATTCTTATCCAGAAGATGACACTCCGTCTGCTGCTCAGCAGACTGATTCGCTTCCGGAAGATGACACTCCGTCTGCTGTTCTTGATGAGACTATGAAACTGATTGACGTCCAGAAGATGACGCTCTGTCTGCTGTTCTTGATGAGACTGCGCCATCATTCCCTACTTTTACGATGCTATCAGTTCGAGATGTTAAACAGCTTATCCATCCACACTGGTTGAGGATCTCCTCCCAGTTCTCACAAAAATCGTAAACAACTCATTACAGTTTGGGCGTTTTCCTAAAATTTGGAAAGAGGCTTTAGTTTTTCCACTGTTAAAGAAACGCGGTCTCGATGTCATCTTAAAGAACTTCCGTTCAGTGAGCAACTTGTGTTTTGTGTCTAAACTCATTGAAAGGGCTGCTTTCAATCAGATTCATGGTCACCTGGTTTGTAGTAACTTATACCCAGTTGCCAGTCACCTTATAGAAGAAATCACAGCACTGAAACAGCACTTTTGAAAGTAATGAACGATATTCTGTTAAATATGAACAATATGCTTATGTAAATGCGCCGTGCTTGGCTGCACTTTTTGGCTCCGCTAATTTTATTGGAAATTTGTTTTTATTTTTAAGTCTTATGGAGTTTTATCAGTTTCGAAATCTTTGCAAGGATGTTAGGCGCATGTGGCCCTGTTTTAGAGGGATAAGAGGCGGCCGCCGAGTGAGGGAAAGAGCAAACAGATGTCGCTATCCCATCGAAGCGCAGCTAACCAACCGTATCAATCATTCACGAAGCTCCCGGCGACACCGAAACATGGCTAATTGTATAACCATTTCTCCATCACATCAAAACCAACAAGGAGCGAGGAAAGTCTACGTTCCGTCTGTCTTATTGTCGAACGTAATGTCTTTGGCCCCCAAAGTGGATGAAGTCTCTGATGTTATTACAAATGCAAACTTGGACATTGCCTGCATAACAGAGACCTGGTTGCGCGACCACATTCACGACAATGTCGTCTGTATTCCTGGGTATAACTTAGTGAGAAGAGACAGGATAGACGTTGCACACGGAGGCGTTTGTACCTACATCAAGAAAGGGCTGAAGTATACCGTTTTAGAAGATCTACATGATGATAAAATTGAAGCAATTTGGCTTCAATTACGACCTTCGCGCCTCCCTAGGAGATTATCTTGTATAATCATTGCCAATGTTTACCATCCACAGACAGACAAAGGCGTTTCTGACTCTGAGATCTTGTTCTATCTCTACGACTCAATGTCTACAATTGAATCGCGTTTTCAAATTGTGGAGTTTTGATCATGGGGATTTTAACAGACTCGATACCTCGAGTTTTAGGAACGCTTTTAAGCTGAAACAAATTGTCCAATTCCATACTCGAGGAAATCAGACTCTGGATCTCGTTTTGACCAACATCAAAGAATTCTATGAGGAGCCAATAAAACGCCCAGCTTCAATGTCAATGGCGTCAACCTTTGGAAGTACGTCGATGACACATCGATGGCCGAGACAGTCCACGAGGGCCAACCAAGTGGAATCAATTTGGTGTAAACGACCTAGTTAGGCAAGCCGAAATAGATAAGTTCAATTGAATGAGACCAAGTGTAAAGAGTTGCAGATAAGTTTCTCAAGGTCTGTAGATCCTTTCGAAGCAGTTACTATTAACAACAAACCAATTGAGGTTGTAACTAGCGCAAAACTTCTTGGTCTCACAATTTCAAACAATCTAAAGTGGAACGCTCCCATAGAGAATGTTATCAAAAAAGGAGCCTCTAGGCTATATCTATTAAGGCAGCTTAAGCGTGCAAAAGGAGATCCTGCGCAGCTACTTTGTTTCTATACTACGTGTATCCGGCCCATGTCTGAATATGCCTGCCAAGTTTTCCACAATGGTCTGCCTGAGTATCTCTCTGAAGAGCTAGAAAATTCAGCGCCGTGCACTTAGAATTATTTTCACAGATTTAGGCTATCAAGAGGCTCTCAAAGAGTGCAATATTGCCACCCTCCATCAACGGCGCCAATGGCTGACAGAGCGCCTATTCAATGAGATTAAGGACAACAGCCTCCACAAATTACATGGCCTTTTGCCGCCACGTAATCTTAGTACTGTAGCCTTAAGGAGAAAGCGCGCTTTTAACGTGCCTCTTTGTAGAGCAAATAGACTAATGAATAGTTTTATCATGCATAACGCGGCTATTTTCTAATGGTTTTATTGTAAATTCGCAGCTCTTTTCTTAAATTTCATGACGTAGTATCCTTGTTCTTTTGTTTTATTTATTTACTGTTATTTATTTATAATAGTTAGTCTTAGTATTCAACGTATTTTACAGTCCGTAATCCAGCCCTTGGGCTGCAATGGATTTTAATAAAGCTATCTATCTATCTATCTCTATCTAGCAGCACGTTACTATCCTTGTATTGCTTGATCTCGATAACGTTGATCACAGCATTCTCCCTAACAGATTATCGTCAAAACTTGGTTTGAATGGCACTGCCCTCGACTGTTTTCGATTTTATTTGTCTAGCCGTTCCCAGCGAGTCTCTGATGGGGGAGCTGCATCTGATAAGTTTGACCTGCGGTATGGTGTTCCGCAATGCTCGTGTCTTGGTCCGCTTCTCTTTACAGTTTATGCATGCGCACTGTTTGATGTCGTCGAAAAGCACCTTCCAACTGTCTATTGTTATGCCGATGACTCTCAGTTATACGTCTCGTTTAGTCCTAAGGCGCACTCTGGCCAGGCTGATGCTATCGAACGTTGCATTCAAGACATCAGGCAGTGGATGTCTCAAGACAAGTTGCTCACGAATGATGCCAAAACAGAACTTCTTTTGATCGGCACCAGACAGCAACTCGCTAAAATCACAATTGATGGCATAATGCCATAATGCTCCACAATCTCCCCTTCGGTATCTCGGTGTGTGGTTAGATTCTAAGCTATCAATGGGTGAAAACATAACGAAAACAAGCTCTGCAGCATTCTGTTATTTGTACAATATCAGGAGGATAAGGAAATATCTTAGCAAAGAATGTACTAAAACTCTGATACATGCCTTTATTTCTAGCCGCCTTGACTATAGTAACTGCCTCTTATACGGCCTACCGGCGTATCAGATTCAAAAACTGCAAAGAGTCCAGAACTCTGCTGCACGTCTTGTATTCGAAGAAAGTAAATTTTGTCATATTACAGTATAGCTGAGAGCCCTACACTGGTTATCCGTACCATATCGTATTGTTTTTTAAATTTTATTGTTAACTTTTAAGGCCATTTATTATATAAACTGCAGTGTTTTACAAGGATTTCTACAACCGAGAAATGTGGTATCTGAACACACGTAAAAATACGATATTTTTACATGTGAAGATATCGATAATTTCACTG